TGTGTGTGTATTTTCATAACTTGCTATAATATTGTATAGAGGGCTAAAATAAATACTCTAATCCGTGCCTTTGTTCTTGATAATGCTCACATAGAATACATTATCTGATATTTCTGGCCCTAGTGGTCGAAATTTGTCATTGCGACTCATCTGACTCCCCTGCAGATAATTTTATTACAATTATTCATCAATAAAAATACAATAAAATCAAGGGTAATTAGTATTTATGTATATATATATGAATGATAATGTTATGGTATACACATTAAGCCCTGTTGTTTGGACGCTTTTGTTACACTGGTCTGCACTAAAACACCCTGATGACCAATAGGAAATCAATAATGTAATCGAATAAGCAGCGTGACCTGAAGGGAGGGGGGAAAATGCTAAATACGCTATTAAAAAAACAAACAAAAAAAAACATTAAAAACATAGTCCCATTATTTATTTATTTATTTATTTATTTATTTATTATTTAATATAATAATAATAATGATTATTATTATTTTATATATAATAATAACAACAATAATAATAATAATAATATATTTTGTGTGTGTGTGTGTTTTATTATGTTTTATTTTTTAGAGCTGTATTTTGTTTCATTCACACAAAACCCTGTGTATTTAGGCTGAGTTCTTCTCACAAGAAACACTCTGTTCCACCTTGTGATGTCATGTGGTGATACAGAATGTGCTCCATTGTGTTTTTAAACTCCATACACCTTAATTTCAGACCTGGAATTGCCAATCTCTACTGAACTAAAGTTAAAAGTTGTAGCTGTTAACTTGAAAGCGACCACTACGTGACATCACAAGGTGGAACAGAGCAACAGTGGGGCACCAGTGGCAAAAAAAACTGTTGTTATGTCCTTAGGCAAGACACTGCACCCACATTGCCTAGTATGAAAGAGGTGTGATGGTGGTGGTCGGAAGGGCCGATGGCGCAGATTGGCAGCCTCGCTTCCGTCAGTCTGCTCCAGGGCAGCTGTGGCTACAATAGTAGTTTACCACCACTGAATGTGGAGTGACTGAATAATGAACTGTAAAGTGCTTTGGGTATCTTGAAAGGCGCTATATAAATGCAATCAATCAATCAATCAATCATTTTGAGCTTTGGAGATATAGGCAGAATAATAATAAAAGTGTTGCTCAAACATGTGTGAATGAAAAAAAACAGAAATCTAGGTTTGTTTTTGAAGAGGAAACAACATTTTAAGATGACTTAACTCTCACAAGGGTCAATTTTGCGTAATAAAAAACCTTGTAAGAACACAATTTTATGTACGTTTCGAGGTAAGTTATAGCCTTCATTTTTGTCCTTAAAACATTTTCTTTGCATCTGACCCATTTTTTGATACTGGTATACTATTATGTGCACCAAAGGTATGTTTTTAAGGAGTTTATTACATATATAAAGCTCACAAGAGTCAATTTTGCATAATATAGGACCTTTGAGTATTATATAAAAAAGCCTAATTGTAGCTTGTTTTTGCGATCTCTGCAGCCATACTTTGGGGTTTCCTTGAGCCACAGAATAAAAATAATCAGCAACTCATCATTTATTCATGCGACCACCACAGCCCTTAAAGATGCAGATGTCCACAGGCAAAATATTGGATTTGGAACATTTCATCCATCTGTGTAAACTGTAAAAAGAAAATGGTGTAGAAACTATAGGAAATAAAATGTTACATCAAGATGACTGTATTGTAAATAATCAAATTTTGTGTTGCTGTCACTAAACGCTGTAGATGTTTCAACCTAATTTCTTGTGTTAAAGTGTTTGGGTGGACGAGATTTTCATTATCAGGTTGAATATTTGTGTATTTCCTGTTAGGACTTTTGACACAGGAACACTGGCGGCTCTTCCCCCGATTTGTGAGTTCAGCAGGACTACATTCACAGCATACTTCATACAACTGCACAACAACTCACTCTTATGTAAGAGATAATACTCCCTACAACTGCACAACAACTCACTCTTATGTAAGAGATAATACTCCCTACAACTGCACAACAACTCACTCTCATGTAACAGATAATACTCCCTACAACTGTACAACAACTCACTCTTATGTAAGAGATAATACTCCCTACAACTGCACAACAACTCACTCTCATGTAACAGATAATACTCCCTACAACTGTACAACAACTCACTCTTATGTAAGAGATAATACTCCCTACAACTGCACAACAACTCACTCTTATGTAAGAGATAATACTCCCTACAACTGCACAACAACTCACTCTCATGTAACAGATAATACTCCCTACAACTGTACAACAACTCACTCTCATGTAACAGATAATACTCCCTACAACTGTACAACAACTCACTCGCATGTAACAGATAATACTCCCTACAACTGTACAACAACTCACCCTTATGTAACAGATAATACTCCCTACAACTGCACGACAACTTACCCTTATGTTGCAGATAATACTCCCTACAACTGTATAACAACTCACTCTTATGTAACAGATAATACTCCCTACAACTGTACAACTCACCCATATGTAACATAATACTCCCTACAACTGTACACCAACTCACCCTTTCTACAGCTGCACCCTAACCCTATGTCCTGTCAATCAATCTATCTATCATTTTTGCACTTGTTTTTCTTACGACCTCTTGTATATAACTGTGATATTTTTATTTCTTAGTTTTATTTTAATTAATTTTTACTTGTTCACAAGATGTGTGAAAAATCCCTCAGTCGTCCACGTAGAATCTGTGGCAGAAGGACAAATTTAATTTGTCAGCTGGACAACGGTTTAATTTGGTCAAATATATTTTGCAGTTCATCCAAGCTGCTTCTTCAATTCTGGACAAAATGCTGCTGGACACTGCCTTGTATCTGCCTGAAGGGATGAGCTAACTACAATGAAACTACTCTGAAACTAACACATCTTCTTGTTTACGGTTTCTGCCTATTGAACTTAAACTGAGTGCATTGAGTAAACCTTTGTCCAGCTGACAAATTAGAATTTCTCCTTTTGCCTTTTACTTGTACACATATTTAGAATTTATTATTACCATTTATATTTTTTCTCTTTGTTATTATTGTGATGGGTGAGTTGCACTGTCCAAATAATTTCCCTTATGGATCAATAAAGTTTGTCTAAGTCAGTCCTCTGTCAGTGCAGCCATATCACTCTTCTGTCTGCGCAGCTGTATCACAACTCTGTCTGCGCAGATGTATCACTCCTCTGTCTGCGCAGCTGTATCACAACTCTGTCTGCGCAGATGTATCGCTCCTCTGTCTGCGCAGATGTATCGCTCCTCTGTCTGCGCAGATGTATCACTCCTCTGTCTGCGCAGATGTATCGCTCCTCTGTCTGCGCAGATGTATCACTCCTCTGTCTGCGCAGATGTAACACTCCTCTGTCTGCGCAGATGTAACACTCCTCTGTCTGTGCAGATGTATCACTTCTCTGTCTGTGCAGATGTATCACTTCTCTGTCTGCGCAGATGTATCACTCCTCTGTCTGCGCAGATGTAACACTCCTCTGTCTGCGCAGATGTAACACTCCTCTGTCTGCGCAGATGTATCACTCCTCTGTCTGTGCAGATGTATCACTTCTCTGTCTGCGCAGCTGGAGCCTCTGTTGCCTTCAGTGACAGGCTCATTTAGAAGAGAGAAATTATGCAGATTATACAAGATGATCAAGGCAAACTGTAGGGAGGAGCATCAGGTGTAAATCTGAACATTATGGTCACATTTAAGTCTGTGTTCTGAATAATGGTTAATGATGATCATGGGCTTCTCAAAATGGCATCTGCAGTTTTAAACCACCATGTGCCCAAATAAGAATAATCCAAAATCGTTCATTTTGTCTTCTTTGGTAGATTAATTTCTTGGGTTCAGAATGTTCAGTCTTAATAATGATCATAATCAGAGGCTCATTGAGATGCATCAGGCAGACAAATAAAACACATTTTTTGCATTTTGTACATGACTTTTTAAAATTAAATGATAACTAAAATACTTCAAATGCTTTCAAATATTTTAGACCTTTGAGTTCAAAGTTCGGCAGGTTCTGTTTGAATGTTTTTACAGTTGTTGGATCAGTTCCAACACTCACTGTGCTATGTCATGACGCTCTTTGGTAAGACACTTAAACGTGTTTTGTGTGAGTTTCAGTGACTGTGCTTGTCAGATTGTCAGTCATGCTTCTGTCACTCTGCCCTGTGTCAACTACGGCAACAAAACTCTCAATGACTGAGAATAAAAGAGGGGTGAATAATGCTCAAAATGTGAGAAGAGCCTTGACTGCTTAGAGAAGTCTCTGTCTGCCCCGTGTGCTCATTGTTGTCTGTGCAGACCTCACCACAAACAGAGGCTTTTACATAAAATACACCAATTAAATGTGAGAGATGAACAGCTCAGTGATTGTTCTGAGGCAGATACACGACACTGTAATATAGAATTCATTATGATTCATGTTCTAATTTTCTTTTGTTTTCTGTGTGAATACATTAAAATGTTTGTGAAATAATGAAACTGTTTACTTTTTCACTGCATGTTGCAGATAAGGCTGCCTGTGTGCGCATCTGAAACTAGATCTGCTTTTCTGCGGCAGAGTAAAGACATTAAAATGGTACACGTCTTTGTTCTCAATATGGCTGCTATAGAATATATTAAAAGCACATATTTTTAGTCCTAGTGTTTGAACGCTGTCATTACAGGCTGATGTGGCTCTCCCCTGTATTTTTAACCCAAGCTGTGCAGACTAAAGCACCTCCCAAATATTTAAGCTTCAATATATAGAATAAAATAGTGATGATAAATGGGCAGAATGCATGGATGCGCGCCCGATTTAAACCAGATGCCCCGTATACCGCATTATCTCATGTTAATATCATTTTTTAGCCCGCACGGACTCAAATTTGGGATTTGATCCGGCTCATGAGGCTTTTCTTTGCTTTCTATCGCCATGCGTCTGTGTTCGCGCATGCGCCGTTTACGTACACATCTATAACACACACCGCTCCGGGATCAGCTCAACTATTTTGATTTGTGAATGCAACGCCAAATTTTGACTTGTCCGAGCGCTTTTTCCTCGAGACCACGGCGTTTACCCCTCGCACTGATTTGGCTAATTTATTTGGACTTATTTGATATGGATTTGTGCCGAATGCGTCGCTCGTTCGCTGCATAAAAAGGAAATCATTTTTCAATATTAAGGTTAAGTTTCGCTGTGTGGCAAACTTTGGCCACACCTAGATCCTGTCCTATATTCTGTGAAAAAGCAGTTTTTTCGCCCGGTGGTGCGTTTGTTTGTGTGTCGGCGAGTCCCGGCGGTGGAGAAACCGGAGAGGGCCTATACAGAGGGAATGCAGGACTGCAATGGAGCACAATGCAATACAGGTAAAGCCATAATATCGGGCTAATAAATGTCATTTTCTGAGCTGGTTCTTGGGGATTTTTAAACGTAGCGATGTGTGAATATTTTCTGCCTCTTGTCGCTTAAATTTGGAGCTGTTTCGTGCTTTGGTTTCATTCACTTTGCCCATGTCGTATTGATTGTTTTGCCGAGAGAGAGTTGAGCTCACTGCAATTACAACTTTATTCAGGCAACTTTTCCTCCCCCATTGCTGGAAAGAGGCGGCTCATATCGGGATTTTAATGGGCGAAATTCAGCCTTTAGCTTCGTGTGATCGGTGGCTCGGCTAACCCACGGTCCCACGCTAAAATCCACTTTAATATTGGGGATATTTTCGCAGTGTTAATGATTAATTTCTTTGTGTGTCGTGTCGCCAGTCTCTCCGCTCCAGCTTTGGTTACCAACCCCCACCCTGAGTGAAAACATTAGCCAAATAAAATTACATTTCTGGCGTCGTGCCTGCTTTAAAATATCCGCAAACTTTTCTTTAGCGCGTACACGGATTTGGACAAAAATAGGGCTGGGGTTAGCTTGCCTTGCTACACGATAAAGTCACAAAATTGTCTTGTATTTACGCCACATATTTTAGATTGCAATAATTGTCGACAAGGACGAGGTGGAGCAACATTAGCGGCGGATTTTTAATAAGAAACATATTGTTATTTTACCCACCACCTCGCCATTTCGTCTCCAGCGTAATTGCACCAATTTGAGCAAGAATGTAATTTTAATGCTGAATATTTTTGGACAGCATAGCAGAGTTTGTGGTTTGGAAATATTGTAAGGACGCAAGCGAGGGCAGAGGACTCCATATCAATCCAATCAACTATTAATTTGACCAGCCATTTTTCCTGATCAGGCGTAGGAACTGCTTTTATCAAAAATGCACCAAGTATATTTACGCAATATCGAGTTTTTTTTTGCAACATTATATTTCCCTCGCTCAAAGTATCTGAATAACAGGATACAGCCAAGGTCAATCTGGCTGTTTAGAGTTAATTTATTTATTTATTGTGCAAGCTGGGGACATTTTATTATTAATATTCGTCGCTTCCCCCTCAGCCCTCCCTCTTCCTCCTCCCTATAGAATTCGATAGCGAGATAAAAAAAAAAAAAAATTACGAAACAAATCTTTTACGCATTAATCTCGACGTGGTGCGCTTCAAAATTACTGGTTTCCATCTTTAAAAAAAACCCGTGTACGTTCATTTTAGACTCAGAGGGCTGTCTCAAGGCTCATATTATATTCTGTGTCTTTTTCTTTTTTCTTTTTTTTTTTTCTTTAAGTGCAGTACCTGGTTTCCACCGCTAGGCTGAGCCCTGCTACATGTGGCCCTCCTCTCTCCAAAGCTACAAAAGCATTTTAGATTAATCTTTCACATTTCACTCCTCGTTTTGCGCATTAACAACGTCATTCCGCTGTTGTGGGTGCTTTTTGCTCAATTCGGGCAACGCGTTTACGTGAAAGTAGCGCTTTTTTTTTGCCATGACAGTAATATCTCTAGACCCCTGATATTGTGCTATTTTTGGCTTTCCCCTGCAGTTATTCAATACAGGCCAAAATAATGCATTCTTTTCAAAATGTCGGTTCCTTATTTAAAGTGGGTTGCTACAAACAGGAATAAAAATCTATGTCAAATGTCAAAATAAGCCGGAAATAATAACATAAAAAAATTAACACATCTGATTTTTGAATGAAATGAATGCGAATTTGTAACACATTTTTTCATCTGATTGCGAAAGAGCTGTCAATATGAGACGATTAAATCTGAACCACGTGAAGTGTATTAAACATATTCTTTTGACTTAATTACTGCTTTGTGCTGCAAATGTCTTCAGTATGCGAGCTGCTTTTCAATTATTTTTTTTCCTCCGTTTTTGAAAATAAAACACAAAATGGAAAAGATGGCTCGTTTTGTAACATGTTGTGATCTAATCTGATCTACGTATTATATCTTTTTGGTTTCCTCAACGTCGTCTTATATAGTTATTATTGGGTAGTATAAAGTTTTAGGGTTGTGAAAAGTATTGAAAATCAGATAAGAGCTGATACTAAAACTGCTATAGAAACTTGAAACTAATTTAAGCAGATCTCAGTACTTAAAAAAGCAAAACCGGATCAAGTGTGACCTTTCTAAGCACTTTCACTTTGAGTTTGATCAAAACAAATGAAATATAATCCCAAATTGTGTATTATTTTGTGTTAAATTACGATATTGTGTAAAAAAAGAGCTCTTAAAATGATCATTTGCGCACCAAAATCTGTACTGAGAGAGTGAAAACAGCAACTTAATCGTGTTATTTATAGTTTTTTTCCACAACCAAATATGATTCATTTAATCTTATACAGGACTGCTTTACAAACAATCACAATCATTGTCCAAATCCTGCTCCAGTTATTTCACATAGATTCCTACATTCCTTTACTCTCGGTGAGGCAAATACTGGCTTTAAGTGGCTGTTATTGTTGTGCTTTGAAATGACTGCTTTTGTCACTATAAGTAATGTTTTGAGTCACATTTTTGACAGTTAAATTAAAGGTAAATTACACTTTTTTTTTTTTTATATGACTTCCTTGTAACTTGTTGTGGAACTAGTTACATAAATGAATTATATCAAGCGTAAAAAAGTGATTTATGTTTCAGTGTAGATGCAGTAGGGCAGGTTTCAAAAATATTATTATTATTATGAAAACACCAGGGCTAGAACAAGACTAAATACAGACTAAACCAGGACTAAAGTGAAAATGGTAGTGGTAGTTGTTGCTGTTAGTTAGGTAGGTCAGTTTTTTTCCACATGACTCATCTGAAGTAGTATTAGGACTTAGGAATATTAAGTAGTTGGTGGTGGTAGTAATTACTAGTAGTACAAAGTAGTATTAAAAGTTTGTAGTAGTAGTTAGTGGGTGGTAGTTGTAGTAAGTAGTTAGTTGTAGTTAATATTAGTAGTGTTTAGTAGTAGTATTAATAGTAATAATAGTAGTAGTAGTACTTAAATAGCCAAGCTCAATTGTTTACACATGACTCTCATTTGAAGTAGTATTAGGTAGTATTAGGTGGTGGTAGTAGTAGTTGTTGTAGCAGTTGTAGTTGTTAGTGGGTGGTAGTGCTAGCCGTAGGTAGTAGTAAGTAGTAATAGTATTACTAGTAATAAAAGTAATAATATGATGTAGTATTAATAGTTGTAGTGTTAGTAGTTAGTATTAGTAGTAGTTAGCAGTGGGTAGTTAGTAGTAGTAGTAGTAGTAGTAGTTAGTTGTAATAGTGGTAGTAGTAGTAATATTAGTAATAGTAGTAGTGGTAGTAATGGTTAGTAGTAGTACTTGAATAGCCAAGGTCAGTTGTTTCCACATGATTCTTTCGAAGTAGTAGTAGTTAGTAGGTTGCAGTGGTAGTAGTAAGTAGTTAGTAGTAGTTATTAGTAGTATTAATAGTAGTAGTGTTAGTAGTAATAGTAATTAATAGTAATATTAATAGTAAGGGTAGTTAGTAGTTGTTAGTAGTTTTAATACTAATAATAGGTATTAATACTAATAATAGTACTAGTATTAATAGTAGTTGTAGTAGCAGTAGTAATAGTTAGTAGTAGTTCTTGAATAGCCATGTTTAGTTGTTTCCACGTGGCTCTCATCAGTAGTAGTAGTTAGTAGTTGTTGTTGGTAGTAGTAGTAATGGTTAGTAGTAGTTGAATAGCTAGTCAGTTATTTCCACATGGCTCTCATCCAAAGTAGTATTAGTAGTAGATAGTAGTACTGGTTAGTAGTAGCATTGAAATAGTAGTAGTGATTAGCAGTAGTATTAATTGTAGTAGTAATAGTTAGTGGTAGTACTTGAATAGCCATGCTCGGTTGTTTCCCACGTGGCTCTCGGCCAAAGACATTTCTCTAATAAAATCGAGTTTGTCCTTGGTAATGGCTTCCCTATGGTTCTCATTCAGCAAAGTATAATTAAGTGTGTGTGGGTTTTTTTTTCTTTTTTTTTTTTCTTTTTTCTACATAAGAAAAACTACTACTAAGTATTGACCTTTTAAGTACATGTTTAAAAGTACAATTTCTCCTCAAATAAACGCAGCTGCTGATTTGTTTCTTTCATAAGTTTTGCAAAATGGCTGCTCCTTTTGGCTCCATGTTGTTGCTCATTAAACTGTATTGGTCTGTGAGAATAGCGCAGCTCCATTCATATCTTGGGACGGGTTTAGAAAAGTCTTATTTTTGGAAGTCCCCGCCCCTCAAACTATACATTATAAATACTTGACAGACAGTAGAGATGGCCCTGGGTATTTTGGGAGTAACTTAAACCTGCTCAGTGTTTCCTTTATAGCCTGTTAATGTTAAGTTATGGATATGTTTAATACAGTATTCGACGCTGTATTGTATTGTACTCAGATATATTTTATACACGAGGTGAAACTGTCGAGATTTTTGCAACCTGGACTCTTGCCTTTCAAACATAATAAATTATAGATGGCTGTAAAACCACTCTGTATTCTGCAACTGCAATGACTTTACTACTGGAATAGTCGATGTTTTAGCAAGGATTTGTAATTAAACAACCTCTGTTTATTTATTTATTTATTTATTTTAGTCTTTATTTGGGTTTCAGATGACATCGCAGCATTCTATAAGTCAATATTATTTCATACAGAGGTAAAAAGTGCAAAAAATTCCTGGTAATACAGTGAGTTGTTGGGTCTCATTAATAACAGAAATGACCAGGTTCAACATTTTTTTACTTTTTTTTTTTTTTTTAAGGTGTAATGTAATCGATAGGGAAACTGTCACTTGCCCCCCCGTCTGTGAGTCTGCCCTCGTCACTTTCTAGAATCTGAGGGGTCGTTTCTTCGAGTTGGTCTGACAGGGTTAGGACCTGGGGCCGGCTCGCAGGGGGTGGGGCTAAACACGCTAAAAACTCCGCGCAGTACTTGAAGGATCACAGTGACGCCGGTAGCAGCGCCAGGGATGTTTCTCAGATAAACAATCATCATT